AATAAAAAAAATTTTTCATATTTCTTCAAACTTTTTTTTTTTTTTTTTTTTTTCAAGATTCTGTAATACATTTTATTGAAAGAAATTTAAACTTACTAAAATGCATTATATATAAAAATATATATATAATAATATATTTATATAAATTCCAAGTCTGTTTTTTGCAATAATTAAATGATTGCTCAATAAATTTAATAAAACCACTGAAAAACCAGCAATTTTGGCTTCAAAAACAGTATTTTTTATATATATATATATATAATGTGTGTGTTAATTTGCAATACTGTTTTTTCAAATAAAATAAAGAGGCATTTGTTATTTATGGTATGTTAATTGAATTAAATATTTTTTTTTTTTTCATTTAAGTTTTTTTTTTTTTTTTTCCTATTTTATATACACTTTCAACAACATAAAACAAAAAACAAAAAAAAACTGTTCTTTCAAATTAAACACTAATACAGCAAATGAAAAAATAAGCATAATAATAAATACAAATATATTAATTTAAATAACAATAAATAAATAGGAAAGATAATATTAGTTTATATCATATATATATAATATAACATAAGTATGTTATAAAATCACTACAAAAATAGCCATTTTGTTTCAACACACTCTGTGTCTTATCAAGTGATGGTGTTGAAAAGAAAATAAATGGTTTTAAAAGTTTCAGATTAATTAACGATCCTACACTAGGGGAGCATTGTTACAAAAGCTAGAATAACCAATCAAAAACGAAGTACAGAAAGATTCAAAAGCTTGACAACAAAATCCTGCTATTATAGCTATTTAGATCTTTAAATACGTGTAATATTAAAAATAATTTTTACTAACTAATAATTATAAATTTATATGATAAAATTTAATATTAAAATTAAAAACTGGCAATTTTAAAAATCCAAATTTAATCACTATTAAGTTTAAAAACTACAAAATTATTGAGAAAAAAAAAAAAATATATATGTTTATTCAATTCATTTCTTCATTGAAATTACGTCTGACAAGACAAAAAGCTACAATTCGTCCGGTCATCTGATAATACATGTATATATTTTTTTTTTTTCCGTTTTTTTTTTTATTTTAAAGTTTGTGAATATGGTCTTAAACTCACGCGTGACACAACAAAAACACAATCAGATTATAATACATACGCATCCAGACATAATTAGATACACACACACACACACACACACACACACACACACACACACACACACAAAAAAAAAAAAAAAAAAAAAAAAAAAAAAAAAAAAAAGAAGAGGGGGGGAATACATGAACAACTCCACAGCCCTTTACGAAAAAAAGAGACGTGGAAACTAACACTTATACACACACACAGTTAAATGTGAATACACTCTACATACACATAGACACCGATATATACACAAACATACATCCACAATGGCATAGACATTGAGAAATCACAACCAGTAAATATTTCAGAAATGCTAACCACTAAATAAATGCTAACCACTTATTGAATTATAACTTAAGGGAGCAAATATATAAAGATAAAAATGTTTAAAATAATATTATTTAATATATTAAAACGAAAACTCTAAAACAATAAATATCAATAAAAATATATATATATTATTAATCATATAAGTTGATAATAGTTTCATTATATATTTGGCAAAGAAAAAACAGGATAAAGAAATCCAAAATATATAATATATATATATATATATATATATATATATATATATATAAAAAAAAAAAATTAACACAAAAAAAAAAAAAAAAAAATATATATATATATATATACATATACATACAGAAAATACACACAATAAATATATAAACATAAACATATATACGTACATATACATATCTATGATAACAAGTACATATGTACGTACATATACATATAAACCTAAATACACACACATATATACACACATAGACTTTTATTATGCACACATACTTAGATATATAAAAAACAGTCATGATATCCAAAGTTTCCATACCTACACATACACACAAAAAACTCATACATAATAGGTTCCAACACACACACCTATATATATATACACACACAAAAATATAATAAATATATATACACATACATACATACATATATACAAATAAATATATATATATATAAATATATCTACCTGCAATAAAACCACCCATATATACATGCATATAAAAAAATCAACAACTTTCAACCAAATACATATATAAACGAACTAACATATAGATACATAAATATACCTTAGAAACAAACACACAGCAATATACATATAGTCTAACATACAAATTCCAAATATACTTAAATATAAATACATATAAATATAAATATATATACACATATATATATATATATATATATATATATATATATATATATATATATACATATATATATACATATATATATATATATATATATACATACATATATAAATATCACATATATTCTTTTATATATATATAAAATATATATGGAAAATATTTGATTATTTCCATTATTATATAAAATATATATATATAT